GTTTAAAGGCCGTTTTAAGGCGATTTTTTTAAGGTTTATTTATTTTTTTTGAACGAACATTTTATTTGGGGTGCAATTTAATGTTGTTCCGACAACACTAATGTTGTACTAATACATCAAATTCTATTGTAATCTTACAGTTATTAAAAGTTTATCTTCAATATTGTTAATTTACTCTTGTACATAAATAAACATATCAAATTCTATTGTAATCTTACCGTTATTAAGGGTTTATCTTCAATATTGTTATGTTCATTATTTGTATTATTATTCGATGATTACTATTTCTTAATATCTTGTATTTTAGATTTTACTCATTGACGTGCGTTTATTCTTTTAGAAGTGGTTTTTTCTTTTTCATGACTAGATGTTATGTCTGTTATGGCCCTCTGGTCAGTTTGTCAATAAATAAATAAATAAATAAAAATAAATAAATCTCCTCGTTTGACTACATCCAATCTCTCTTTTTTGTTTATCAAATTGATAATTGCATTGAAGCTACAATACTTAGGCTCTATCCATATACATTATACGTGTTACAAAAATTTTATTTTTGACCAAAATTTGGAACCAAAATAACTCTAAAAGGTTGCATCCATATCGCTGTTATATGTCCTTTATTGAAAATCGCTATGCAACTTAACTTGACATTTGTGACCGATGTTTCGATAGGATTTATCATCTGTTACTGTTATAATTTTCAACGATGTGAATTTTAAAACCTGTGAGTTTACTGCAAACTAATCAAGTTTTAATGTGAAAAATATTGCTTTCTTTTAAATACTTTAATTTCATTAGTCATTTTTGTTTTTTTTTTTGTAAAATTTGTTTGATATCTATTTTTTTAGTGCCATTTTCATGCTCAGTGCTCCAGTTGACATTATTCTACATTGTTTAAAAATTGATAAACAATTTAAACAAAAATTTCAATCATAAATTTTTTCTTTCATTATTTTTTTTCTATATTTCTTTTATTTTACTTTGGAAAAAAATTTGACATTAGTTTAAAAAAAGTTTATGTATATAGGGAAGTTTTTCACTAAAGTTACAAAACTTATATTTTTAACTGTACATACAATTTCAATAAAGTTACAAAACTTGTTTTTGACTGTGCCTACCATACATGTTCATTCATTTTTGTTTTTTTTTTGTGAAATTTATGTTTAATATCTATTTTTTAAAATTACGAGTTCGGTATTATCATTTGTACAGAGTTCATCTTTTAAATATTTGGAAGCATATGCAAAATTTTTCGTTGTCTTAACATCTTAAGGACTGACGGCTCTCACGCTCAGTATTTCAAAGTTGGGTTTATCGCAAAACTTGGGTACATTTTGCGTAGAGCTCAAACTACTTTACTAATTAACGTAATATTAGATATAAACCAAACACTTTCAACAAAAATGCTTTATAATAACAAACTTTTGTACATTAAAATATTTTATTAAAAACGAAATATATTTTCGTAAACAAATTTCAACTTTTACTAGTGTTTTTGAATAAATTTTTTCTAACTTTCTATAATTTGTTGCAATTTTGTTTATGTTTTTTAACTGTCACAACTTCAGAGTTTCGTTGTACATTATTGTGTAATTTTCTGCTGTCGTCATAAACACCGTACTCTTTCTCCTGATTGTTTTAATCAAGAACTTCGACTTTAATCTACAAAAAAGCCAATTTTTACAAGCTTCATTAGCAACTAAATTTTTTCATGATTACCAGTACTTTGAAAATTGCTGTAGACGTTGAACTTTGACAGCGACAAGAACGTTTGTGAAATTGATGTTGAAATTTCAACCGCTTCTTTCTAATGGATGTTGACCAAATGCTGAAGGCAGGACATACTGAAATGATGAACAGAAAGATTTGGTCGTCGCTACAAATGCATCACCTGTAAAATTTTTCATCTTGCATAGTCGTACCCCAGGCCCATTACGATAGTTTGCAATGACATCACACATGTCTAAAAGCTTCAGAAAAGCTGCCATAGTGTTCTAGCGACATTACGAAGTTTTACAGCGTTGTACAGGATATAGATACTTGATCTGGATCATTTTGTGCTTGAAGAAAACGTAAGCATAAAAGAACAAGGATAAACAGAACAGCAATAAAAGAGAAAATTTATTTTTGAATTTATTTATTCTTCAAGCTGTTTTATCACTGTTCTGTTATATCCTGCTCTGTTTTATCCTGTTCTATCTTGTACTGTTTCATTACGGAACGAATAGATTGTAGTTTTAAAGTTTAAATTTTATTTATCTTATCAACATTTATGAATCAACATTTTATTTGAACCCAAGTTTTGTTATGATTTGTTATGAACTCAAGTTTAATATACCAAGTGCAAGCGCCGTAAGTCCTTAATTTAAGGTATCTGTGCTATATCACCATTTGGTTTCAATGAATTTATTTCTTTCAAAACATAACATAAAAGTTACAGATATTTGCAATCCCCGCTCTAGTTGGCGTTATTATGTGTTTTGGAGTTATTAGATCTGTCCCCCCTACACCGCCATCATCATCTGCAAATGAAGGTGTTGATCAGTCTTGGAATGGCTTTCAGAAGGTTTTTGTGTGTTCCAGATGTTAATTTTTTTTTGGTAGTTCTGACGTCAATCATTTGAAATTGTTCTATATATAAAAGTTATACATATAATTTTGTATATATATATATATGTATATATATATATATATGTATATATATATATGTATATATATATATATATGTATATATATATATGTATATATATATATATATATTTATATACATATATAATATTGCCAAAAAATTCTAGTAAACATCTTCCTTGTATAAAAGACAAAAGCCATTGCACAAAGTATTTCGCAGTGAACTACGTAAGATAAAGGAGCTATGGTAGACGGCGAGGGCTGATGAGCTTCAGGTGGCCACTAACCGGACCATGTATCAGTAGTTCTAGAGACCTCCTTTCATGACGAGGTCCTGTCTGAGCTGCCGGATAGGAAACCTGATTATGATCTTCAGGTTACCCTAGTTCGCAGATAAGTAATAAGTAAGCATGGATAACATGGATATTGCTAGTAAGCAATATCCATGTTAGCGTTTGGAAAAGAGCTCGGATTGGATCGTTTGTTTGCAGATTTGTTGAATCCAGTGGATTACATCTTAGGAAGAAGTTGGTGAAGCTCTTTGAATGCATGTGGATGAAGCGGTTGGTTCCTCAGGAACGCAGAGATACTTTCACCGTTCATATATTTAAAAGAAATGGTGATCGATCGAACTATGACGACTACGGAAAAATCCCTACTTACCATAACTGGAAAGATACTGGCAAGACTGACTGACGAAACATGTCAGTAATCAAGAAATTTTTTCGGAAGGTCAATGTAGATTTAAAGCCGTACGTAGCACGACGGATAAGATATTCCCTGCAAAGCAAACTGTAAAAAAAAAATCGTGTACAACAAGGGCTATACTTGGTTTTTGTTGCTCTGACCAAGGTTCAATTGATAGATCAGCGCTTGACGTTGCTTGTCGAAGATTGGCTATCTCCGGCTTTTGTTACCATAGATCGTTCCTTCCATGAATGTATAAAAGCGAGTGTGATTGGCGAAAGATCTCAGAATATTTATTTTGCAAAGGGAACCAAGTAATGATATGTTATGACTGCATTATTGTTTAACATCTGCTTTCCTGTGATGCTCCTAGTTGCTTTTTGTCACAGTTGTAAGATCTGCTATCATATTGTATCTTTAACGTCAGACGATTACAAGCGAAGTCTAAGATACAGATCTCTATTATTCGCGACACACATGATGAATTTCAAAAGCTGTTCAATCGCTTCCATGTTACAGATTTGGACTTACAGCCAGTCTGAAAAAACGGAAGTTTGGTATCAGAACCACCTAGTCTGGTTGAGAGCAATGGCATATGTGTTGGTGGACGACTCGTGTCTAAATTTGGCTGATAAATTCTGTTTTCTAAACGGATATATCTTCAACAGTGCTACTATCGATGACGATGTTATAGCGAGGCTTTCGAAAGCAGTTGCTGTTTTTTGATATTTTGACCTTACCTCTTTGGAAAGAGGCCAGAGTTAACATGGCCACTCAAATGCGGAATACAGAGCAGTTGTGCCCACATCACTTCTTTATGGCTGCGAGACCTTGACGTTCTACTGTCGTCATATTCGTAGGTGTCTGCGTATGATTGCTAGCAGGTAGGAAGACAAGGCTCTAGACCAATGTTTCTGGAAAAGTGAGCGAAATGGGTTTAGAATTGCTTTTGCTTCAGTTTCGTTAGCTAGGGCATGTTATACGTATGCCAAACACAAGAATTACCAAGCAGATAGGTCTTTTTTAGTCAACTGGCATCGGGAAATTGACTGGCAAGTGTTCCTTACGTAAATACAAAGACTTCTTGAAAAAAATATAAAAAAATGAAATTTAGACCACAAGGCCCTCTGTTTTGAGGATCTGCGACTCTCACAATCGAAAAAGTTTAACCAGTCGGCTATTTTCGCTTTTAAGCCGGCACTGATTACGGCTCGAGCTGAAAAAACAGCCTGGCCTTGGCGGTAATAGTAAAAGTGTATGTGGAACATGTGCACGGAAATGCTCGTCAAGGATTGGACTTTAAAGATTCACCGATGACCTAATTCGACAATTTGCTACTTCATAGTGTGTATGTATATATATATATATATATATATATATATATATATATATATATATATATATATATATATATATATATATATATATATATAAAGGAACGTCTTTATGTTGACTCAACACAAAATTTCCGTAACCAAAAGTACGATTGTATAGAAATTTGGCGAAATAATTTCTTTTGAAAAATAGAGATTCACTTGGAACAAATTTTATTTATTTCTATCCGAATTTTGATAGGTGAACAAAAAAGTTTATTTATCTTCATGTATACATATGTGTATGCAAAAAGATGTGAGAATTATTTATAGAAATAGGACACAGATATACGTGCCACACCTTTAATAAACATGAAAGGTGCACACTTATGGCGTTTACGTTTTACTCACTGATGCATCAAAAAAAATGACTATGTTAAACAACATCATATTTTTAAAGGAGATTTAACATCGGACGCGGACATAAAATAATTCTATGCAAATTGATTTTTTTTTTAAATTCATATAAATAAATAAAAAACATTCGGATAATGTTTAAAATAATTTATTATTACTGCTTAATATTTCCCAATGAGTTTATATAAAAATTTTATATTTCGGACAGCTCATCAGAACGTCTCAATATCTTATACTGGTTGTATCTTACGGAGCAGGTGTTGGATTGATCAGCTCGCTTGTTACCATTCTTGATATGCTTCTTTTACCCCGTGGTTACACAGATGTATGTCTATTAATAATTTTTGGTAATATAAATAAGTGTAATTTTGTAAGTGAACATTATTTTAAGAATATTATTACAACGGTTTAATTTATTTTTAGTGCTGCTCTTAAAATTTCTGAAATTGTAGAAAATCCAAAATATTTGATTGAGTCGAGTTTTTTAGCAACTTATATGTATCATAGTACATATCAAGTCATAATTTTCTGTTGAAAAGTCATGAAATGAAAATTAATTTTTTAAGGAAATGAATTGTTATAATTAAATAATTGAATGATTAAATAAATAATTATATATACAAATAAACAACAACGAAAATTAGTTCATAAATATAAGCAGACATATAATTACAAAATAAACCCCCAAAATGTTTTTAAAAGGAGTATAATAACATCACATTAAATAAATTTTATGGTTTTTCATCATGACAAAATTGTTTATTATAGTATTGATTAAAATATAGTATACTATAAAATATATATATTTATATTATAGTATATACAAATTATATTAATATTTATACAATTTGTAAGTCTTTATGAATTTACATTAGAGCTAAACTATTTGGCCTCTTCTATCATGCTTGAACTTCATCTTCCATGTCAATACAAAAAAAAGTCAAGGGGTGACAATATCCGGAAAATACTCAGCAGCGGAGGGATATTGCGCAAATTCAGGCGTCCCATCCTGGAATATCAGACTCTGCAGGAAACAAGATGGAAATCAAATAGTGCCTCTCTCATTGGGAAATACAAGTTGTTCTGGAATGGCATAAAGACAGCTCAAAATGGAGTGGGAGCCATACTTGATGTGAATACCAAGATACTCGACACAGAAACCCACCCGGGTGGGTTGAAAATCCGTGAGGCCCTGCACATCAACAAATGTAAACCAACCATGAACAAACAAACCAATAGATTCGACCACACTCTCCAGCTATTCTCCTACCTTATATAATTAATATCCATGTCTCGCTTCATTTACAATCGATAATTAACATCACTTACATTACTATTCCACCTATTCACACATTAGCATAATATATTTATTTATATACACTCGTACCATCCCACCACTCCACACACGTTTCGTTGTCATTCCAAATTTGCAATATCGATATTCGTACTTCTACCTTCACTTCCAGTATTTAACTTTTGAAATTCATTTAACATATTTTGTATATTTTATACTTTCAACATTGTTCAACTTTTTTATATTTCTTTTTAATTTATTGATGTCAGAGAAATTAGTCATTATATTGTTTTTTAAAAATTTTTATTAAATAAATTTGCAAATAGCTATTTCGAGTTATAGATAACTCATCTTCAGAAGTTATTATCTATATTTGCTGATAAGAAAAATATCATTTTTATCCATCACCTCGAATTTGAACATATGCAGCTTCCAGTTAGTATGCTTTGCGATGGTTATTAATAACCCTTGAAAAATTTGAAATTAGCGAGCGTTGATTTGCCAAACGACTGTTTTTCCAGAGTTAGTTTAAGTTTCCTTGGTCTGTTTAAGTGTAAGTTCATCAGACGATTTTATTATTAACTGAGAAAAATTAAACTTATAGAGAATTTTTAAAAAAGGCATAAACGTAAAATTTTCATTCTATATAAATATATACTGAATTTGAAAAAAGCTACAAATTGTGAAATAGTGAATAAATAAATTGTGGTAAACAGTAAATTAATTTTTAATTCGTTTAATTTATGTTAAGTCCATCAAAGCAGGCTGGCTCAGCTAATTCTGGTATGAGCAGGCATACGGAACGTCAAACTGTTATACAATAATATTATTATTACTACTCGTTTAATTTTATGTATATAGATACAATTGTCTTCTAGTAATCTTTTGTTTCTTTTTTTTGAATATCCTTAAATAATTAGAATAATTTTTAATATTATTTTAGTAAATTTGGTATATTTGAATTAAAATGTATGTTTTAACAAAATAAATATATTCAATTGTATTCCGTCCAATAATTGTGTTGATGTTATGTTAATTTTTAAACATAATTATGTTATATTTTGCAGCAATTTTCTGCCATATGTGCAGCTTTAATATTTGGCTTTGGCTTGTTGGGAGCAGCAACATCATCCGCGCTAGCGGATAGAACAAAGCAACATGAGCTGTTTGCCAAAATTGGATTTGGTGCTGGAGCATCATTATTAATTTCCTTTGTCATGGTTTTTTATTTTCAATGTAATTTTAGCTCATATTTGGTTTGTTTTTAAGATTTATAAATTAATAAGGTTTAAGATTTATATCAATTAACTGAAATTTCAAAAATCGTTGAGTATTATAAAATTTATAACTAGCTGACACGGCATACTTTGCAGTGCTCTAAAAATAATATATGCTGCCTTTCTAGCAGTTTCATTGACAGTTCAATCAATCAATCTTTGTTTAGCGTCCAGAGACCGAGTTCCCCCGAGATAGAAGGTTGTTTTCTTTGCCATCAATTTTTTTGCGCCATATTAGCCGATCAGTTTTATCCATTTCATTTAAATTTAGAGCTCTCATGTCTTGCTCAATTTTTTGCGACCAGGATTTCTTTGGATGACCTTTGCGACGTGTGCCAGGTACTTCGACATCTGCAAGAGAAGTTATGACACTGTTTCCACTTCGTTTGACATGACCAAACCACTGCAGACGGTGTTGCCGGCATTCGTCCTTTATATCATCTAAACCAGCACGACGCAGGATTTCGGTAGTTTTGAAATGGTTCTTCAGACTAATTCGTTGCATCCATCGGAGCATTTTCATATCGGTTCGTTAAAGTTATTGTTCCAGTTTGATTGTTATTTCCATCACAAGTCGAACAAGATACTCTGGAATGAGTTGTCGACGTAGACTCCACCTGATTGCTTCACGAGTTGCCGAAGGATGTGAATTGCATCAATTGTTGATTTTCCGGCTAGGAAACCAAATTGATAATTTCTGATTGTGATGCACGACGTAAATCTTCCCTCAATGATTTTCTCGACAATTTTCAGGGAGTGTTCTAACCCCGATATGATGAACAGTTCAATGGATCACCTTTGCTTTTGTATAGCGGAACCGTCATGCTATAGTTCCATTCAGTCGGCATTGAGCAATTTCTCCACACTTCACGGCAAAGTTGTAGTAACTTTGATAATGTTTTGATAATGTCATTTGTGAGTTCAGAGGGCCCTGCTACCTTTCCATCCTTCATAGCTTTCAGAGCTTCTGTAAGTTACTCTACAGTGATGCTTGGAATCGGACCTTCGATAGGTGGAGCGTCAAAGTTGACATTGATGGGATTTGTTTCATTTAACAGACGGTTGAAGTATTCTCCCCAATGTAGCTTGATCTCATCTTGTTCAAGAACCATCTCATTTTTTTCGTTTTTGATACATGAGGCACCAACTAAGTCTTTTTTCGTACGCTTTGCTTGTTTTGCTATACGATACAGAGATTTCTTTTGTTCATCTTTGCTCTTAGTGAGCCACTCTCAGCACTGATCTGTCCGAGCTAGTGCGACTTGACGTCTTGCATAGTTGTTCTTATCACGGAAAATTTTTTGGTCATCAACAGACTGATTGATTTTTGCCATTGCTTGTATGCATCTTTCTTTTCAGCTATTGCGTTTTGTACTCTGTCATTCCACCACCGAGTGTCCAATTCATGCTGGCGTTTTGTACCAGTTTTCCCACAAACTGTAGTTGCAGCGTTTATCAAAACGGTTTTGTATGTATTCCAATCTGTACTGGCTTGCGATTGGTAGTCTAACTGTAAGGCTACAATCTGTTGAAATTTTTCTCGATGAATATTGCTTTTCAGCTTCTACGTTTTGATTCTCCGAGGCATTTGTTTAGACTTATGTTGTGACGGTTTGACGACTAGGTCTGCCACAAGGAGCTATGTTGCGTGACACATGATTCGCCAGGTATAACTGACATTTTTGAATAGCCTTCGGTGTTGTTGCTTGACAGCGTAGAAATCAATTTGCTTGGCTGATGGTCCAATTTTGTATGTTATGAGATGATCCAACCTCTTTCTAAAATATGTGTTCAGTAAACAAAACCCGTGACTTTCAGAAAACTCAAGGATCCGGTTGCCATCTTCATTCCGTTCTCCATACCCAAAACCGCCATGTATGTCGCCTCCAATCAGGATTGTTTCAGATTTTGGTATTGTTGAGATGGTGTCAGAGAACGCAGCCCAGAAGTCATTTTTCATCCCTTCTGATTCGCCTGCCTGTGGTGCTTGCTTTTCTAGGCGAAGCTTGATTCACATGAGACGTGAGTTAATCCTCTTAATACTTCTTGGGCTAGCGGTTTTCTGACAAAAATTCCAACATTATTTTTTGGCCGTCTTTTGAAGTTTCCAGAATAGTTTATATTTTTCTTTGTCCGAGTTGAATTACAGACACCAATCGATTTCCATCGAGTCTCCTGAAGGCAGCAGATGTCAATTCTTCTACGTTCGAGCATTTCTGCGATTTCCATGCTGCGGCCAGTCAGTGATCCAACATTGAGCGTTCCTAGTCTAAGTACCATAGAGGGGCCATTCTGAATTTTTCTGCAACATCCCTCTGCTATTGCATACTTCCCAGGGATTCTTGGCACCCCTTGACCACTTAAGGCTTGCTGGGGACTTAGGGCCGTTGTTTTTCTTTGTGATGGCATAAAATAATTACCTAAGCAGTTGCTCCAAAGTGCATGTAGATAAACCAAAAATTTTAAACTAATGAGCAGCGTTAATGAGCATCAAGCTTATAACATCCATGCCTATGATTTATTTTTAGTAGTAGTATTGACTCCTATGCAATTATCGGGATCTTGACCAACCCATTTACAAACTCATTTACATTTAACCATTTAATAATAATTAACAATTATTTAACAATCAAAATAATCCGGTATTTTACTTAGCAAATAAATGCCAAAATTGCAATTTTGAGTCTCAGAACTTTACTAAAACATTCCTTTGTTCAAAAATGTAAATAAATCAACATAAACATTTTACGTATAATTTTTTATCTTTTTGAATACAAATTTAGCTTATTTTACCTAAAAAATGAGGCTTATCTGTGTTGACTTAGTCTCTTAGAAATTTATTAACAGGTTTTTTTTGTACAAATATCGCTTTAAATCATAATATTTATTTAACAATTGCAATTATTTTTGTTGATTTTAATAAACATTTTTTTAGTTCGATAACGCGATAGCTTACTGAACCCTTTGGAACGAGAAAATAACCAAAATACCCGGATGTTAAATTAAATAAAGTTAAATAGTTTATTTTTTCAACTTTGAGCATAAACAGATTAAAACTGAAAAACTACGAAACTAAAAAATATGATTAATATAATAGCATAGAATCGCGAACTTATGAGAAATTTTTATCGTTACTAAATTCTCAATAATTTAACATGCTTATATTTACGCAACAACAAGATTTCATTCTTTTTGTTATTATAATTGATATTCATTATTATAACTTAACTTTACCGAATTTCATTTTATTTAATTTGGTTTGAATTTTAATATTACTTTAAACTTTTATTTAAATTGTTTTATTTAGTTTTTATCTATTTTATTCTAATTCAATTTAATTTTTACTTCCTTCTATTTTCATTTTGCGCTTCTGAGGTTTTTCATAAGAGGCGTTATAGAAAGATGAAAATAAAAAATTCTTACATGTGGTATATAATTTAAATTAATTTAATTCAAAATTATAATGCAAAAGTTGAAAAATTTTGCTTGCTTGAAGTCAGAACCCAGTCTCCGTAATTTTTACCGGACTTGTATATTTTTCATACGACCTCCTAAATCAGACTTCCTTGAGTCGTATATTTTTCAACCGACTGCTGCAAATTTAGCTTAACACCAAAACATTAAAACTATTTAAATAATTAATTTTTTTGTAAATTTTCTAGTTTTGTCAATATCCAAATTTTAACATCCTACTTGCGTTAATTGCTTCCTTGCTTGGATTATTCTGTTTGTCTATCAATCCGTTGTGTCTTGAATTGGCTGTTGAATGTACATTTCCCGTTGCTGAAGGTCTTAGTGCTGGACTTTTAGTTTTGTCAGGGTAAGTCAAATTTTTAATAATTTTTTATGTACAATGTTGTGAATCTATGTAAATTTTTTAAAAATTATTTTCAAATGTTAAATAATGATATTTGTCAGTCAATTACAGGCTGCGCTTTACACAGTTTTGTTTTCTATTGGTTCCCGTTCAGCTTCTATTCATTTCCATGATGCGCCAATACATGACATAATAAGCACAAGTGGGTACATTTTGTGGCCGAGTTTGTTTTTTTATTTAGTCAATTTTCTAAATTTCAATTTTACTGCATAATAAATTTTTTTTGTGAAAATGAATAACTACAGTTGTTTTATATTGTATTCGGAAACTTTTTTATAAATTATTTTAATATGAAAATATATTTTATATGATTTTGTAAGTTAGTCACCTGAATTGAATTGTTTTGTTATTATATTAGCTAAATTATAAACATTTTTAAATTCTAGTTTTTTTATTATTTGCAAAATTCTTAGTTGTTGATTTCAAAAATTCGAATTTTGTCATTAAAATATCAAGTTATTTCCACCAAAAAGTGTTTTTTACCAGTTTCAGTTTACCGATGTATGAAACGAAATAATTTTATTTCACTTTTTTCCTGTAACTTATTTAATCTTTTTAATGAAATTTTAATGTTTTTTGAATCTTTTTAAGTGAAAGAACTAAATTTTTCTTGGGTTTTCTATTTTTTTTTCAAAACAATCATAAATTACTTGGTTTCTTTTGAAAACTCGATATGTAAAACACATTACATTATAAAGAAATGCTATGTCATATTAATGGGTAAAAAAAGTTATCAAAGCTTTAAATTTTGTAAATTAAATGTGATAGAGCTTAATTTATTATTTTTATGATATATATAGCAAAAAAATAAAGGATGTTCAAACAAACAAAATTTTGTAAAGTTTATGAAATTCAAACCAGTAAGTATATAGAGAACTATGGTGTTTATTACAGGGTTTCTATTTTCTATTAATAAAGCCTCTGCCACTCTCAAATTGCTTATATTATGATTGTATTGATAAAATAGCACTTTGGTATTTGAGTTTAATATTTCTCTTGTTATTTCTATTAGGTGTGAATCCATTAGATGATTATTTTATTGCACCATTTTGTGTATACATTGTTAACCCTCTTGATAAAGTCGTAGTAGTGAATACGATATATTCGGTATTTTGGTGCCTACAATCACCGATGAGTGGTACTACAATCGCATCATTGGATGTTGAATCCCTGTTTACCAATGTACCTGTAATAGATACCATTAATACCATTCTTGATGAAGTGTATCATTCCGATATCCCCCCACTGGATATCCCTAAAGACCATCTTAAAAAACTTTTGTTTGAATGGACGAATTGAATGCCGCGAAGCTTACCAAACAAGCACGGTCTTATCATTTATTAATCGAGCCTTCACACATTCTTCAGAGGTTAGAGTAACTGAACTCAAACGGGTAATCAACATACTAATTAACAATGGTTACAAAAGAACATTTATTGAAAAAATTATTAGCAAAAAAGATCTTGTTGTAACAAACAAAAGTACCAATGATAAAACAACAAATGACATAATACTTTATTACAAAAATACGATGTCAACAGCTTATAAGACCGATGAGAAAATAATAAAAAGGATTGTAAACGGTAATGTAAAAACTATCAATGAAAATGATAAATTAGAATTTACTATTTATTACACGAACGACAAAACCTCATCCTTTGTTTTTAAAAATAATTGCAATACTAAACCAAAATCGTTTAGTATTGCAATTATTTTTAAAAACTACAACTGTTAAATACTAAACAAAAACCTAAAGCAAGAGCAGTCATCTAGTATATTCTTTTGATTGTAAAATCGGAAATTGTAGGCACCGAAACACAGAATATATCGGATTTACTACTAAGACTTTATCAAGAGGTTAACAATGCGTACACAAATTGGTGCAATAAAAAATCATCTAATGGATTCACACCAAATAAAAATAACAAAGGAAATATTAAACTCAAACTCCAAAGTGTTATTTTACTACCATAATATAATCAATTTGAGAATGGCAGAGGCTTTATTAATAAAAAATCCAACAACGGGCCGTAACGATCCTACCGACAAAGAAATTACTCACACAAAAAAACAATGGAACTTAGAATTCCATTGTTAAAAATACTATACATACCAGATGAACTACATATAACAATATCACTATATATATATATATATATATATATATATATATATATATATATATATATATATGACTCTTATCTTTACGATTTTTTGCATTAACGTTTAGTTTCACGCACAATTTTTTAAATAATCTTAATAATAATTTTCATAATTTTGATTCTAACGTATGTTTATAAAAATTAACTTATTAAATTTTATTTCGTATTAATTTAATTTTTTTATAGATGCTGATCTGGGCTTTATGGCGTTGACAGCCATTGCTTCAACTTTTTTCATTATTACGTTCAATTGCCCATACAAAAGACTTCGATTCGAAGAAAAATATGAAGCTGATAAAATTACCGAAAGCGAAGGATCTAGGCTTTGTGTATAGAAAAATAGAAACATTGATAGATATATAAATATATATAATATATATATATATATAATACGTGACTTTTCACCAATGTTTTCCTATATATATATATATATATGTATATATATATATATATATTTTTTTTTAAAGTACCAAATGTGACATAAAACTACATGAAATTTTTATCGGTTGGAAGAATTTTATTGACATAAATATGATTTTTAGTTATAAAAAATAAAAATATTAAAATGATGTAGATGCGTTACATGATTAAGCAGTTTACTGAAATATTTCAAAAATTTACACAAATGGATTATAATTTGGTGAAAGGATTTCCAAGATTGATGAGCTGTGTTTTAAACTGTTGTGTGTCAGACTGATCTTTCATGTTTTCGATAGTTATCGTCAAATACAAGGTCATGCTTTTCTGATGTAATTAAAATATCAAATTGAATTGATAACTAAAGCTATATATAATATATTGGGTATATAGCAATGACTATAACTACTTTGAGACGAAGATTAACAATGCACAAACAAAATGGTGCTATAAAAAACACTTAATGAATAATCATAATATAATGCTAAATAGAAACATGTAGATAATAATATTAAAATTTTACACCGTATTAATAATTTCTTTGAACCAAAAATATCATTTTGAACTAAAAAGAATTTATGGACAACTTTGAAACAATAATTAATATTCAACAAAAACAAATAAATATTATCCTACTAGAAGAATTTTACTTAATTATAACTAATAATTATATTATTGATAATAATTTAACTGATATTAATACTGCAATTACTATTGCTAATACCACTCTCACCACTAATACTAATATTTTTTCTACTACTGCTACTTCTACTACTACTAATAAATGTAGTGATTGTTATGGTGATATTATAATGGTAATAATATTAATAATAATAATAAAAAAATCAATCTTCGTTTAGCGTCCAAAGACCCAGTTTCCCGAGGTACGACGTTGTTTTCTTTGCCATCAACATTTTGCGCCAAATTAGACGATCAGTTGTATCCATTTCATT